TTCCTGCTAAGATCCCTGTAAAGAAATCCGTAAAAAAACGAGTAGGGAATAATGAGAATGATGACGAAATTAACAAGAGGGTAAAGAGGACACCATGCATTGTATTCTTTTGGAATGAGATATAGACAAAGTATCCAAAACATCACAATTTTTTTTCCCTTACAGGTAAGTGAGATTAGGCATCCCACTAAAATCAGGAAGAGCCCCTTCCAAACTGCAATTCCTAAGACTCCTGAAATGTGGAAGCAAGAACAAAGAGAATGATCAGCTTTCTTGCTGAAACCCAACCAGTTCTTGTGATAACAACAGGCCTAAAACTCACAGCTTTACTAGTTTGGAAAAGTTTCCATAAGTAGCTGGAATTAGAGATCCTCTGAAGTTATTATTATCCAGTTGGCTGCAGAGATATGGAAACAAAAGCTGTGAATCTAACAAGTAAAAGTAATAATAAAATGTGGGAAAATAACAATGGAATAACATACAGGATTCGAAGGTTTGGCAATGCAGAGAGTTGTGGTGGAAGAATGCCAGATAAGTTATTGCTATCCAGCAGCCTGTATCCATCACCCGCAACATTAATAATCCCATCTTATTTCCAAAACATGGAGAAAACACAGAATGTAGCAAAGACTCACAAGTGAAGGATGTTGGTCAGATTGGCAAGTTCAACTGGTATTTCACCGCTTAGCGAGTTATTATTGAAGTGACTGTAAAAGGTCAGAACCAAAAACTGTGAGATCAATACCGATATCTGAAAACACCATCTGAGGTTGATATCACTGTCTGGCGTGATGGTCAAGTCAAACTCACAGGTGTTTCACGTTTATCAAGTGAGAAAACGACTTGGGTATTGGTCCAGTAATGTTGTTCTCGTCTATCTGGAACCTGTTTAAGTTGGAAAGATAGCCGAGCTCACTAGGTAAAGACCCTGAAAGTTGGTTTCCATTTAGCAGCCTGTCCACAAATCAGAGAATCAATACTTGTTCTTTAGAAAAGGAGGAAAAAAAAACAATTAGACAAGGTTATCAGAGAAGGGTTTTGAGACAAGACATGAGTATCATGTCCAACTTACAAAAGTTTCATGGACGATATCTCTCCTAGCTCCTTGGGGATGGAACCGGTCAAACTGTTCCACATAAAATTTCTTCACAAAGGCAACCAGAAAGAGAGATTTCAGCGTCAGTGGAAATAGGTCTGACAGACACCAAGTACATGAAGCAAGAATCCGCTTTTTGGAGTTTGACATCTTACAGTATTTCAAGATGAGATAATTTCCGGAGCTCTGGTGCTAATATCCCGGAGAGATTCATATTCATCAGCCGGCTGCATGAAGACACAAGAAAGATCAAGTAGACAAGCAGTGATTAAAGACAGGAAAAAGAGAGCACGATGAGCAAGACATACAGTTGGCGGATGTGCAGGTAACCATCAGTACCAATCTCGTCAAAGCAAAAAACTCCGGTCCAGTTTGCTGTGCAAGGGTCTCCCTTTTTCCAGTTTCTTAAATTCTTCATAGGATCAATAAGGCTTCTCTTAACTGTCCGTAAACAGTAGACTGCAAATGGAACAGATAGAATTCACTGGAACTGAGATCTCAAGCTGTAATCTTCCACAAAGTAATTTATATGAAAGTCAGGTCACCTTCTGAAGGATCTGTTCTCTGTCCATCTGCAAGAAGAGCCAAGCAACAGAAGGCAGCAACGAGTAGATATCCATAAGCTCTGTGAAACGACACCATGAGGCCCTACAGAACGTATTTAAGCAGATACTGTTATCAGGCCGTACAGAAACCAAGCGCAAGTTACAGAGGAGAAGAGAGATGGATCCGCAGTCGTTCAAAGGAGGTGGAGAGAAGCTATCAATTAATACGTCTTGGTTGGGAGCTGCAGATAGCAGAAGCTTCCAAATTTCCAATTCTAGTCAGCAATTCCATAATTCAAGCCTGATATCTATTCCAACAGAACGAGTTGATTACAATTACGACACAAATGGACGCCGCATTCATTAGCATTGAGCCAAGAGCGTTACCTCACTGCTTGATCAGAGCAGAAAAGACCCAAGAAGCGGCGTGGACTTTTCTTACCTAAGAACAAGGAAACCGGATAAGAAGCCCAGAGGAAAAATCTGCACAAGTTCTGGAATCAACGAGAAGTCAACACACACGCAAACAGCAGCAAATCGATGAGAATGAACATCAGGATGGGTTTTCTTCTGTAAACATCGAGAGAGAGATGACATCACCTTCATGGCTGCTTCGTTTGGTTTGTGCTGAGCAGCGATGAGGGAACCGGCATTCCCGATTTTTCTTTTTCATCCGAAAAAAGCTAGAAACTTTTCACCGAGTTAGTAAATCTTCTTCTGGGTTTGACTCTTCGTGCTCCGTAAAACGTGTGTGAGTTAACTTTGTTGACAAATTAGAAGCCCCGATCCAAAACTCAATATCCCAACACAATCGCCCTCAAGAGAGTGAAACCCAGAGACGCAGTCTGGTGGGTCCGGCTCACGATTAAAGAAAAAAAAAAAGAGAAAGTCAACCACTTTGAAGCAACAATTATCAGGAAAGATAACTTTCTCCACGTTTTCTGGGTGGATGTGATTCAAGGGAACACCTTTTAGTTTAACGAGATCGATCATGGCAATATCTTTGATTTTCTGGAACTAATCACAGAACCGAGTGATAAAAACTGCAGGAACCGAATCTGCGTGTCGTGAACATATGAGTTCCTTGGAGAGTTGAAAGCTGACAATGACTTGGCCCATGCCTCGGAGGAAGAAGGTGAGTGTCTGCTGCCAAATCTCCGTTATTGACTATCGTTTCTGTGGTTCCTGCCTCCCCGAATGGTCCCGAGACTGACATGGAATGGGCCGGAGAGTGTTGCGTAGGCCCATTGGTTAGGAGATCAAAAAGAGCCACGATGGAGATGAGATGAGATTACACATGGTGTTGGATTCTTTTCCTGACACGAAACCCCTTTATGCATGAAGATGGGTGGGTCAATCTGTTATGAAAGATTGCAAAGTGTTGTGCGTAACCAAAAAAGAATGAAGATGGGTGGGTCACGTCACGTCACATGTCCTCCGAGTTAGAAGGGTGCAATTAATTACCCGTCAGATTGGGTTTTTCCTCTTTTCTTAATCGAGCGTTTCCCATCGTTGCATTGCGTAGATCTCGAGCAACCCCTTCACCCACTCGTCATCTTTGCAAATTGCTTCAACCTCCGATCATCTCTCTCTCTCTACAACCTTCATCTCCGACTCTCTCTCTCTCTAAAACCTTACCTGTTGAAAAAATATATGTGAAGATGTGATCCATCAGGGTGACAGCGAATTATTCTCCGCTCCTAAAAAAAACTCACAGTTGTTATTGTCTTTGGCTTTTCTTGCTGTATACGAACTGGACTTTGGTACTTGTATTCTACAAGTCATTTTTCGAAACTTGGAACGCGATGAAATTATATAAACCATACAAAAATAATAAAATATATATTAAAAAAAAGGTACAAATAAATAAAAGAGCTCCATAATTTGCGAACAACGAACATGCATCGTGAAAACATTACACACTCCCTCAACCAACTCGGAAGTGACACATAAATCCATAGATCTGGATCGTCTCTCTCCTTCCAATGGCGTCAATCCTAAGAAACTGATATCGATACTTCTGCTTCCCTCTCTCTCACCTCATCCCTCCTCAACGATCAACATGAATCTGCGGGAATCTCTGATCGGAGTGCGGAATGCTCCGGCTCTCCGGAGAGGTCACGCCCCCAACGACGAGAATCTGGATCTCTTCTCCGCGAGCCGCCGCTCCTTCCCCTTAGCTTCGGCCGACGATTCCTCCAACGGTTCGTTTCTACCAACTCATCGCTTCTTCGATTCAGCAATATTAATTAATGCCTCTTTGTTCGATTCCCTAATTTTTTTGTGTTTGTCGCTCCTGCGCCTTCCTCAGCTGTTTGACGCTCTCCAGATTCGTTCGCTTTCTGTAATTGTCGCTTGAGGCAGTTCCAGATCTTGTTCTTTAGGAAGGTGATTCTGACTTAGACTCAAATTTCCCTTCTTCTTTTTTTGTTTGGATGTAGTTTCGGAGAAATTCGGAAGACTCCCTGTAGGAGCCATAACAGTGCCCAAGAGTGGAGCAGATGATCTATTGTCTTCAGCTGAAGGAGGGAAACATGACTATGACTGGTATGTTTCTGTTGCTCAGCAGCGTCTCTTCCATGTTCAGTCTCCTCGATTTCCAGGCCGATCCCCTGTGTATGTCTTGTTTCCTCATCTCTAGGCTTCTCACTCCTCCTGGAACACCTCTCGGACGCGAATCTCGCCCAACTTTGGCAGCTCCGAAGACAAATTCCTCGGCTAGATCTAGTTCGTCAAGGGTACAACCTGCCTCTCTTTTCTATGCTTTCTTGACCTATTCTTTCCTCTGTGTTCCTGATATGGTTCTTCAACACCTTCTAGACTACTCAGATTCTACAGCCACGTTCTACATATGTATGTTATCTTATTCTTACTGAGATTTGGAAACCTCTCTTCCTTCTTCAGCTTTCGGTTTCACAGTCAGAAAGCAGTTACCAATCCTCAAGACCAGCCAGAAGTAGCTCTGTTACTCGCCCCTCCATCTCTACCTCACAGTACAGTTCATATTCTTCAAGCCGATCACCATCTTCTGTCCTGAACACAAGCTCTGCTTCAGTGTCATCCTACATTAGACCTTCCTCTCCGATCAACCGTTCTTCACCTATAGCTAGGCCTTCCACTCCTACTCGTACCACCTCATCAAGGGCCTCTACTCCTTCAAGAATACGTCCAAGCTCATCTAGTTCATCCATAGACAAGACCAAACCATCCCCGACGTCAAGGCCTTCTACTCCGACTTCTAGGCCACAGCTTTCAGCAAACTCGAGTACAATTGCTTCTAGACCTAGTTCCCGTCCTTCAACTCCTACACGTCGAAACCTGTCCACCTCAGTGTCTGCATCAGCTGGACCCAATGTTTCAGGTGGACGTGTTGTATCAAACGGACGTACGACAGCTTCGTTGTCTAGCCCAAGCTCCCCAGGACCTAGAGTCCGACCATCCCAACAGCCAATCGTGCCACCAGAGTTTCCTTTGGAGACGCCGCCAAATCTCAGAACAACTCTTCCAGACAGACCAATTTCTGCTGGAAGGTCTCGGCCAGTAGCTGCTACTATGACGACGAAAGCGAGTCCAGAGCCGAAAGCGTCCATGACAAGAAGGAATCCATCTCCCGTTGTTGCAAGAGGAAGACTCACAGAGACAGCTGGGAAGGGCCGTGTCAATGGTAATGGGCACGTGACAGATGCATCAGAGGCTCGGAAGGTTTCAAACATCTCGGACATAATGTCTCGGAGAAGTGTGAAATCGTCTGCATCAGTGACAGAGAGCAATGGGCTTGGGAGGTCATTCTCAAAAAGTTCACTGGATATGGCCATCAGGCACATGGTATGCTAATGACCTTGTTCTATGATTTTTCTTGAGCTTGAGCTTCATGGGTAATGTAATATCCATGGTGTGTAGGACATAAGAAACGGGAAGGGAAGCAGCCGTGCAACTCTGTTCCCTCAGAGCATAAGGGGAGCGTCATCCAAGGTGCAGTCTGTCAACTGTGGCAACAGAGTGGGGGAGAAGGGAAGGAGGGTGGAGAATGGGAAAGGGGCAACGGAGGAGGGAAGTTGGGCGGTGGGGAAGATGGACGTGTACGAGAGTTCCCGCTACGATGCGCTCTTGCTCAAAGAGGACGTGAAGAACATGAACTGGTTGCACAGCCTTGATGACATTTCATCAGAACACCCACTTTTATTTGACAATGGCTTCGAGCTGCTTCCTGAGCCCTTTTGACACACACACACACTCTTCTTTTACACAGAATTATGATGGCTCTTCTTGATTCTTGAGTGCCGTTTCTAGCACTTGTCCAGGTTATGAGATTTGTAAAAGTCGCAAAAAATATGAAATTTGCTTGTTTTTTTTTTGGATCACATTTATGTTCAGATACAAATCTGGTTGAGTTAATATTTTACATAATACATCATGGAAATGAAACATTTTATCTGAAAATGCCCAGAAACAAAAGGGAAAGTTTTGTGTGTGTTAACGGGAAAAAAAAAAGAAGAAAGATTACCTCTGGGACAGGCAGAGGCTTCGAGGCCCGTAGGAAAGGAAAAGAGGAGATGAGGGCATCTTCGCTCTCCTCTCGCACTCCTGTCTGGATTCTCTTCTCCCGTAGGCTCGTAGCAGTGGCCGAGGCCAAGCTCCCTTTCGCTCCATCTCCCAGATCCAATCGCTCCATCTCCCTTTCTCTCTCTGGGTAATCCCTGTTTCTCCCTAGGTTCCCTCTTTTCGTTGTTTCAATTTTCCCTAGGGTTTCTGGTCAGTTATGTCGGATCTTCGTTTTCCGCCATGGTCTGTTGTGTTCCTTTGCTCTTCCTCCCTGTAATATGATATTCCTGTCTGTGATGCAGGTTTCCGGGTCTGACCCATGGCTTCGAAGCGTATTTTGAAGGAGCTCAAGGATCTCCAGAAGGATCCTCCTACGAACTGCAGCGCAGGTACTCTGCTTTGTTGGATCATTCGTCTTTTCTGTCCTTTTTAACTGATTAAATTGCGCTCAAGCCTGAATGAGTTGGTTGATCTTCACCTCTAGATAATCCGATAGATGATGTTCACTCATCCTGTTTAATTGTATGTTCCTCCTGTAAAACGTTTGTTCTGTTCGACTTTGGAAACTGCGCGGGGGTGTTATTCTTGGCTTGAGCGTTTGTTCTCCTTGATATTAACTGAAAACATTGAGTCTTTTGTAATCCTACTCCGAGTTTTGCTGTGGACTTCTGCATGAGCATGGCGTTTGGTTTTCCATTAAAAGCTTCTTCATTTCTGAATTTGTTTTGCTCTGATATTATAAAACCTCTGGATGGATTTGTTGTGTGAGAGGTAATACGAGGTTCATGCTAACATCTCAATGAACAGGTCCGGTGGCTGAAGACATGTTCCACTGGCAAGCAACTATCATGGGACCCCCTGACAGCCCATATGCCGGTGGAGTATTTTTGGTCACCATTCATTTCCCCCCGGATTATCCTTTCAAGCCTCCGAAGGTGTTTTCTTTTGTCTAGTCTGCTTGGTATGGGGATTTCTTTTGTTCGGTTTTGAGATCTTATGGTGCATTTCTGTTTCACAGGTTTCTTTCAAAACTAAGGTCTTCCACCCGAATATCAACAGCAACGGAAGTATTTGCCTTGATATCCTTAAAGACCAATGGAGCCCTGCCCTTACCATATCCAAGGTTTAAAACTTTTTTTATCTTAACTTGCAAAGTTGTCAAACTCCATGTGTCTTGCCTCTGTTGCTGTTTCAATAGCTTTCACTTAAACATCAGTTAAAGTATCGCGCACACCTTGTTCGCTTGAACACAATGTGCTGGATAAAATATGTTGGGTGTTGTAAGTTTCTACAGGTGTACATTAATTTGATGCGGTGGGGTACTAGGGTTAATAGTGGCGTTTTGGGTGGCTATATATATAGAGGACGGCTATAATGTAATGGTGATAGAATGCCGTACTTTTTAACAAAGTTAGCAGATGTTGACTCTCACTGTTTGTAGAATGTAACCCATTTGGAGTTGGAAAAGGGTGGTGTACTAATGTGGGTGGGTGATGCTGTTCCATCAGGTTCTGCTGTCGATATGCTCACTGCTGACGGACCCGAACCCAGATGATCCTCTGGTGCCAGAGATTGCTCACATGTACAAGACGGACAGAGCAAAGTATGAGGCGACCGCACGCAGCTGGACCCAGAAGTACGCGATGGGATGAGGATGAGTTTGAAATCACCTGGAATTGTAAAAAAGAAAAAAGAAAAACTGGAATTGCTTTTGATTTTAGAAAAGAAGTGTCAATCTTGAGACTTGTGTTGGGCTGATGTGATGTGATCATAACAGAACATGGCACAGAGTGCCAGCTTGTGAGGTTATTGTGACTATTTCCTTTCTTTATATGTTCTGTCGTGTCTGTCGTGCATGTTGGGGATGGCCATTTGGTTCGGTTATTAATCCAATCGATATATATCCGAATCGAACCGAATCAATTAAAATTAAATAACTATTTAGCTATGATTTGTTAAAATTCAAAATAATCGAATCTGAAATAACCGTGGAGCGAATAAAACAAATCCGGATTAATATAATCGTTTATCCATTTATTTATTATCAATTAATATACAATATATCTTAAATCTAATTTAGAAAATTAATGTAAAAATATTGTTTTATAGCTTTTGTACATAACAAACTCACCTATGTATTTAAAATATTTTATTTTGTTGTTTTCACGTCAAAACAAATTATAACATAATATAGATTCTGTTATTTTATGTTTTATATATTAAAATGACCATGATGATATTTTATATTATATTTTTTTTTAAATATTTTTTTTTATTATAAACGTTTTAAAACTTTTTTTAATATTATAACCGAATCGAATCGAATATTTATTTGGATATAATTTTAAGGATATAAAACCGAACGGAATTAAACTAAAACTGAATCGAACCGAATATAATTAAATAACCGTGTAGTTATAAATTTTCAAAATCTATAGTATCGAACCCAAATTAACCTTGACCATTAATCCAAATCGAACCGTTGGTCGACGTCTCCTGCATTTTAATGTTTTGATATGCCCAAAGCTGATCGACTTTGGTTAATTTTGGATGGTGTTTTCGTAATTGTAAAGGTGAAATTTCTTATTAAAAACATCGGGGCCTTGAAAACCGCGGGTGCCCAAGAGTCAATTGAGAGCGTCGGGTATATAAGGAGGGGCAAAAGTGTAATTTAAGACGAATCTGGGAGGAAAGTGAACGCGACGCGGTCATCTTGAGAGTTTCCTCAGCCTCTGCGTCAAATTGGTTCTTCTCTCTCGACGACGACGACGACGTTCCCTCTTCCCTCCCTCCGAAGGTACTTATTTTCCCATCTCAGAATCGTGTATTCAAGTTCCTTTTAGATTTCCTCCGACAAGGAAAGGGATCCGTCACCCTTTGATCTTCTCCGATCGGCAGGCTTCTCCGGCGCAAGGTCCGTCCTTTTGTTTTTGCTTTTTACCTGTTCCTATTCTATCCCTTCCTGCATCGACCAACTGAGTTTCCCTTCCTTGTCTTCTCTCAGGCCTTTTTGGCAATTTCAATTCCCAGACCTCTGGCATGGGGAACTGCGTAGTTAAGGTATATCATTCTTTCCTTTCTTTTTTTGTAGAAATCTCCCTCATCGCCTTATCCTTATACACCGAAGCCCTTTCTCGGAAGCTGAAATTCGTCTTGTGCCCTTCATCCCTTGAATTATCATCTCCCACGCGGTTGATAGAGAAGGCGTTCGGAAATTTAGTATGCCCTACGGATTTAAACCCTTTTTCCTTTTTCTGTAGAACCAAAAAGATGATGATGCAGACAACCACGTCGAGTTTTCCGGTGGGAACGTTCATTTAATAACAACAAAAGAGAGCTGGGATCAGAAAATGGCAGAAGCTGGTCGTGATGGCAAAATAGTATGTTTCTTTCTTTCTCCTTCACCTGATTGGTTAATGTTTGCTTGAGCTTACGAGTGAGGCTGGACACCTAACAGGTGGTTGCAAACTTCAGCGCGACATGGTGTGGTCCATGTAGAATGGTGGCACCCTTTTACATCGAGTTGTCAGAGAAATACACTTCTCTGATTTTCCTTCTAGTAGATGTTGATGAGCTCAGTGTAAGTCAGTCGAGCTCTTCTATAGCTTTTGATTTTTGTAGGGTTGTTTGAAGAAGTCAGTTCTTGAATTCTCGCGCGAGGGATCTGTGAAAATTGCAGGATATCAGCTCGTCGTGGGATATAAAGGCAACACCGACCTTCTTCTTCCTGAAGAATGGGCAGCAGATAGGCAAGCTTGTCGGAGCAAACAAGCCAGAGCTACAGAAGAAAATAACGGCTATCATTGATTCTGTGGCTCCGTCTCCGCAGCCACAGTGACCATTTAAGACAGGCGAGTTGGCCGCCATTAATACCATACCACTTTTCTGTGTCGTGTTTTGTGTGGTTGCTTTTGTTTTAAGGTTCTTGGCTCTGTAAGTTATGTCTTGTCATCTTATTGTCCATGTACAGAACATGGGTGACATTTTCAATCCACGGTTGATATAAAGGAAGTCCTTTTCTTTGGTATCCCTATATCACCATGAGTTAGAATTTCTCTTTCATTTCTTCTGATCGTTTTGCAGAGGAGTCTCATGTACGGAATTATGATTATACAGAGAAAAGTTGGGAGCCCCCGTTCCCCTTTGTATTTGACAAGGAAGGGGCCTTTGAAGCAGAGGAATGACTATGAGGCATTGCATAATTCAGAACCAGATAGAGGAGATCACAAAACGTAAAGGACAGAGAGCATAAGCTTTATCAAACTCCCTAATTAATTAAATAGATTCAACGTCCTTTAGGGTTCAGGATCTGAGAGAAGACAGCGGTGGGGGTAAGTCCCTCGGAGTCAGAGCTCGTGAGGCTCCTCCCGCCCACGCTTGAATCCATGGCGGAGTCAGTGGTATTCTCCTGAAGCTGCAGAGCAAACTCGAGGTTCCATAGGACATCTCCCATGGGAGGCCTCTCTATCCCTTGATCCGCCACACACTTGATCGCCGTCTCTGCATACTTGTTGAAGCATTCAGGTGCAATCTTCCCCTTCAAATACGGATCAATGATCTCTTCCAGCTCCCCTTTCTTGAAGCAGCGAGCCGCCCACTCGGCCAAGCTCACTTGCTCCTTTGGCAGTGTCGGGTTCAGGGGAGGCCTTGCACACAGGACCTCGAACAGCACCACCCCATATGAGTACACATCAGACTTCTCCGTCAACTGCTGCCGCCTGAAGTACTCTGGGTCCAAGTACCCAAAACTCCCCTTCACCACCGTGCTTACGTGCGTGTCGTCCAACGCTGGCCCGGTTTTGGAGAGTCCAAAGTCCGAGACCTTAGCCACCCATTTTTCATCCAATAGAATGTTGGTGGTCTTGACGTCTCGGTGGATGATGGTGTGTTTGGCGGCGCCTGTGTGGAGATAGTGCAAACCACGAGCAGCACCAATGCAGATCTCCAGCCTCTGCTTCCATGGCAGCGGTGGTTTTTGAGTTTTATAGAGATGCTCTCGCAGTGTTCCATAGGCCATGTAGTCATAGACAAGGATCATTTCGCAGTTTTCTTCGCAGTACCCGATCAGCGAGACAAGGTGGCGATGTCTCAGTTTAGACAACATCTCAATCTCTGTCTGGAACTCATGAACACCTTGCTCAGACAGGGGGTTTCCGCGTTTGATGGCAACATCGTTCTCATCCATCTTTCCTTTGTAGACTTTTCCGAAACCCCCAACTCCAAGTAGCAGAGCCTCATCAAAGCCGTTTGTAGCAGCCTCTATCTCAGTAAATGAGAAATGGCGGCAGAGATTGGATGGGAGTGAAGATGCGTAGCTTCCTGAGGCGTTGGTCTTGGCTGAGCTTGAAGAATTCGAGTTCCCATACAGAGACAATGGGAGCCAGCTCGATGGCCCCTCGCTTGAAGAACGCTTCTTTCCACATTTCCTTGTGCCATAAGCAGCTGCAGCACAAAAAGCAACCATAAGAGCCGTGCCGCTGATGCTGCCAGCGATCACTGCTATCTTGTTACTCGAATGACTCGAAGAAGCAGCTGCTGTCGAGGATCCAGCAGTCACAGCAGGACCGGGGACTGGATTTGGACCGCCGAGGTTGCCACTTGTATCGTTGATCTTGAAGATTTCAACACCGTTTAAGATGGCGTCGTAGTACATGGGATTGTTAACAATGCTGGGATGCAAATCGAGCCACAGGTCCTGCTGAGGATTCCCGCCGGGCATAATCACGACGTAGTCCCTGTAAACCGGGACACCATTTTTGCCATCGCCCCCAGCCCAAGCGATGACGTCAGCCTCAGCCTCGGCCGTTTGATTATTCAAGAAAATACTGAAGACTCTCTGGTTAATCTTGGTGACAAACTCAGAGATCTCGCAGAAATGAAGCCTCACCAAGTAAGCAAAGTCGGAATGGACGCTGAAAGTCCAAGTGAGGTTGGAATTGAGATTGATCTGGGCATTGCGTGTCATCAATCTCGCCGTCGCGTACACGTTTCTCGGAGCGATGTAGGGAGGAACTTGGGGAGGGTAAGTGATGTTGAGGGAGGGATCGGCCATCTGGGTCATGCCCTGGGCGGCGGCGAAGATGTAAGGTTGGTCATCGAACCATGACCTCATGAGCCCTGTGTCGCCGGAGGCCGAGATGTCGTTGCCTCCGACGTTCAACCGAAAAACGTTCTCGAGGGCTGTCGAGTTGTCGATGGTGAAGGCCGTGGAAGAACCCACCACCATCAAGTTCCCGCGGATGTTTCTGTAGATGTCGGGCATCGACACTATCTCGATGCCATTGACGAAGGCGAAGGATGCCGCTGCGGCAGGAAGGAAAGTGACGTTGAGGGGTCCATCGTCGACGTTGAGGACGTATTCCTTGGTGATGTAAGCGTAGCTGAGAGCCTCAGAGGTCTGAGAGACGCTGAAATTGTGGAGGAGCTGGTAAGGGCCCGACGAGACGGAGAAGAGAGCATCAGTGGCGTTGAGGGCATCATAAGAGTTGGCGTAGAAGTAGAGACGAAGGAATTTGCGGCCTGGTTCGACAGGGAAGCTGTAGGTAAAGGCAGAGTGAAAAATCCTGGCCGTCATGAATGGCACTTGGGGCACCCCTGGGTCCTGAGTCGCCGCCTTCGCTGGTTTCGAGCTCCCTGGAGAGAGGAACTTGGAGTTGACGTCCGGAATCCATTGCCGCTGATCGGAATCGGTCCTTTGGGAAGACTCGCCGCAACTGAGGAAGATCTTATCGATCGGAGAGTAGTCGGCCGCCCAGACACAATGAAAACAGGCGGCTGCAGCCAAGACGAACAGAGCTACAGAGAGGGAACCGAACAGAGAGCAGTTTTCACGGATTCTCCTCATGGGCCTTTCAAAGTTTGCAACTTGTCGAATGTAACGCGATCGAGCAGGCAGGAGGAGGAAGAGGCGACAAAACAGAAACAGCCGAAAAAAAAACCCCCCACCCGGAAAGTTACAAAGCTAATTGTTTTCAAAGGTTAAGCATTTTCAGGGGAAGGATGGAGCCATTTCCTGTTTCATCCATCAGTATGAATCTGATTGGAGGAACCGAGAAGAGGGAGGCGGAGAGAGAATCAGAGTGGAGGAGAAACCGAAATGAAACCACTGGAAACTGAAGATAGTGCGTTCTCCCTCTCTCTCACTAGGCAAAGAGAATGATTGATAATGGTTAGTGGTTAGGCGTTGAAATTCCATTTGGGTAGGCAAATGGCATTGCCATCTTGGGATGCAGAGACAAGCGCGTGAAAGCGAAAGAATGCCGTTACTGTTTACACAGTAATAGGCATCGGCCATTTTGGAATTTGGAGGACGTGGAAGGGTTTGGGCTTTGTCCGAAGAAGAAAGAGAATGGGCTTCCTCTACAAAAGGCCCATTACTGCAGAAGACAGAAAACACGAGCTCATGAACACAAGTATCAAGGGTACACATGTATTCTGTCTTTGAAATCATTTTGCACCTTTGTATACATGTATTTATGAAAAAGAAAATATGAGTTTATCACTTAAATCAAATCGTGAACAACATAAGTGAACTGGTAAGCGACTTTAGACAAACATTATCCACATGAATATACATACACCTCTGCTGCTCCAATCCCGACATAGACACACACAAGGCCTGATGACCTGTCGGAACCTTTTTCTTCACCTTAACGAATTCCATCCTATGCAAATTCACTCCAGCAAGAAGAGCCGCCGTGACAAGAAACAGAGTGCACCATTTACATCAAAAAGGGTAGTTAAACCAAAAGAGAGAGAGAGGAGGAGGAGCTACTTGCTGAGACTGAGCTTGGAAATAACAGCGGCTGCTTGATCTCCACCCAACAAAAAGTAAGGGTGACGGAGAGCAGCGGCTGCGGAGAGCCGTCCACGTCTCAGAAACCCTCTCTCTGATATAAGCTTCGTGGCCAGATCCCACCCTCTCCCCGCTTCCATATCAAGTATCTTCAAGTCCGGCCTCGTCCTTGTTCTCTCCCGCCATTTGTTCAGATCATACTCCACTGACTTTATCTCTGCATTGAAATTCTTCAGACCCGCCGACGATCTTATACTCGGAATCGCCATTTGCAGAAGCACTATCCCCGCAGAGTACATATCAAACAGATCCGGACAGTTCAACTGCATCCCAGAAACCAAATCAGACACCCGCACACAAAACGCAGGGTGCTAAAAGAAGTTAGTGTTACCTGCCACAGGAGAGGGGAAAGCATGGCAGCTATGGGCTCCGGGGGAGGACTGGGGGTTTCCTCTGGGAGGACATAGAGCTCGGGAGGACAGTAGTCTGGGTCCAGCAATGTCCGATTGGGGATGTAATTTTTGCCGATACGAAGATCAGTGGCTGCACCAAAGTCTATGAGCTTGATCCGCCCCTTTTTCGTCACCACCAAGTTTGCTGGCTTCACATCCCTGTGAACAATGCCCGTGTCGTGAATCTTCCTCAGAGACGTGATGATCTGCCTCATGATTTGCTTGATTATCAGACCACTCCTTTTCACAGATTCAACTCCTTCAAGAACACGCCCGAACATGATTGACTCCAGATTAAATGGAAAGTTGCGATCTTTCATGTAATCACCGAGATCACGGTCTCCCTGTTTTTTTTTAAAAAAGGATGGGTTATCCAACACGATGATGACGATGATGAACATGAATCTTTCGAACGATTCCAGTCGACGATTGTAATAACCTAGCTCTGATTCTCTACATTCAAAAAGAAGGAAGACAGAGACAATGTAGTCGTACCTCGAACCTCCAGACAAGCCATTTCCCATTTTTAGTAAACTGTGAATTTGTCTTGTCGGCAATGAAGCTTCCGAGAAACTCAGCACATGTTTCAGGAGCAGCCCTTGAAAGTCTGTAGTTGAACCACTCTTCGTAGTCCCCAAACTCCTCAGCCCCGCGAACTCCGACCTTCACCTGCACTTTGGCTATCCTCAACGCTACGGTGAAAATAAAGCCATGAACAAAGGAAATTATGCGAAATTCGGCCCACCTTCTTAAGAATGACTTTCTTCTTGAATTCGCCATCAAAGCCGTTGCCTTTCCCACCTCTCATGCGAGCCCTTGTCTCATCAACATTCATATTCTTGGGAACAACGACGCCGGAATAGACTATGCCGAATGAGCCTTCCCCCAGCTTCTGTCCGACCAAGAAATCGGAACTCTTGAGTCTCCGTCTGCCGGTTAGAGTGTCGAAGCCGAGCTGAAGAGGGGCGAGGAGGTAGGCATCAATGGCGCCGATGAGAACACCAGGCCTCGCCGTCAGGTAAACCCAAGTGAGCCCGGCGAAAACCACGAAACCCCATTTCTGGGGATCGGGTAATTTATCCGCTGTTCTCTGGAATTCGTCCAAGGCAGGGAATAGGGAGAGTGGCTCCAAGGAAAAATTGCATCTCAGGGAACTCCGACCACAACAACGACCGCCTCCGGAAACGGGGATGAGGAGAAGACCGTTTTGGGGAGAAGATGGCGTCGGAGGAGAGAAACCGGTGGTGATGGAATTGGCTCCGGCGACTGGAGAGACAACAAAAGCCATCTTCTTTTGCTGGAACACACTTCGTTTTCCCCCACGCGGTGGATAAAGCTTCTTAGTTTTTATGGTATGTGTTGGACGTTCGTTTATTGCCACGTGGCGTCCTGTCTTCCCCCCAATTTTATCCCACCTATGAATGAACTAACGTTCTCACTGAGATGAAGACGACAATTACATAGGATTATTTTTTTTATATATAATTTCTTGGAACGTATATTACGTGTCAATTTAAAAAGTGAAATTCATTCGGACAACAAAGACCAACTAAACGAAACGAAAACCGACGACAAACAAACAGAAACGAAAGTCACCACAATGGTTCGTTCCCAAGAACAAAAGCACGAACACCAGGACTGGTCACCACTGCGTCGGCCTCACGTACGTGAAGTTGACAAATGGATTGATGTTAGCATCTGGGGTGGAGGCTGGAGAATCCAACACCGACATCTCCGTCCATTGTTTCTCAAAGTTGTCTATGCAGAGCTTTCCCAATACCTCTGGCCTGAAACTTGGCTCTATCTCTCTCCCTTCCAGCTTTCTCCAGTTTATTGGCTTGAACCACTTGTGCCTTTTGATCTCCTCTCCTCCCTCTGGTCCTCTTCCCAGTCGCTTTTCAGGCTCTTTTTGTAGCAGCTGCAATTTTGGAGGAGATATTATTAGTTAGTCCACATGTAACATTCAGATTTCCTATTCAAACTTCTGGTCCTCACCCCTTTGAGCAATGAATGAGCTTCCGTTGACAGAAACTGCGGAAGCTTGATCTTTTCTTTCACAATCTTCTGCTGTATCTTCTCTCTGCTCCCCACAAATGGCGGCTGCAGAAACACATACAAACACCTTGCATTGCATCTCACATCCAATTAATTTAATACTGCAGATGGAAACCCCACACAAGGAAAACAGACAAGGGTTTGTTTGTTTTTTTACCTTTCCAGTGAGCATCTCATACAGCAGAATCCCAACGCTCCACCAGTCAGCAGCCTTATCATGGCCCTTTCCTTGAACAATTTCTGGTGCCATATACTCCACAGTCCCACACATGGAGTTGGATCTTGTGTTCTCATCAAACTCTTTTGCCAGACCAAAGTCAGTCAACATCACATGGCCATCTGCATCCAAGAGTATGTTTTCGGGTTTAAGATCCCTATGCATTATGCCTTTCTCATGAAGGTGGGAGACCGCAGAAACAATTTCTGCAGCGTACACTCGAGCCAAGTCCTCTCTGGAAAAACAAAATAGAACAAGTCAAGTCAGCCTCTCCCAATTCTAGTGAAGCTGTAAAAGAACTACAAGTACCTGAAAAGGCCCTGGTGATAGAGCTGGAAGAAAAGATGCCCACCATTAATGAAGTCCAGCACAAGGTACAGTCTGTATTTAGTCTGCACACAAAGGACAAGCACCCTCAGTACAAGAACAAAAAGTTCTAGAAGTCATTTTCTCAATTTCATCATAATATACGGGACTAAAGCTAAAGCTTAGAATGCGCATAAGCTAGCAATCAAATGCTGAACAGAAGAAACTCACCTGAAATGAGTATTTAAGCTGCACAATGAAGGGATGAGCAATTTTCGTCAGAATATCACGCTCAGCTTTCATGTACTCAGCGTGATTTTTCTCCATAATCTTATCTTTTCTCATGACCTTCATCGCATATATCTCAGACGTCCCCTTTTTCCTGACCTGATACACTTTCCCAAACGCACCTTTCCCAACAACACTCAGAACATCAAAGTCTTCAATGCCTAAAAAATCTGAGGCTGTCACCAGGTCACCCTCCAGAGACTTCTCGGTGTCAGTATCATTTTCAGAGTGTTCGTTATCTTCTTCCAGTGTCTCACCTTCAAGACATTCCATGGTGAGCTTGCTCAGTTTCAGAGAATGACTAACAAATGAAGAAGGCCCGATCAGCGAGTGGGATCGATTGTAGACAACAGCTGGCTCATTGTAAACAAGCTCACCAGTGTCAGCAGACAGAGAAGTCTCTAAATCGCCAGGATTAAGTTCAGGCAATGGACCAAAAACATCAGAGAAATCCAGCTCGACATGATCGTTCAAAACATCAGGTGGGCTCACTGTTACAAATAGTTGTTTCTGCAAAGGCTTGGGCGTTTGGATTTTGCTTTGGGCAGGTAAGCGAGGAGACACCATGTTTACACCAAAAACTGACTCGGAACTGCAGATGGCCTAAATGATCTCGTGGCTATGGCTTCACAAGATCACCTATTGCTGAAATACTCCTATCAATGGCGTTGATGAGGAGGAAAGTGATAAACACGACAGGAGTTCCGTAAAACTTTGGCAGTAAGCAAAACAAGATCCAGAAGAAGAAGCTATTCTTGTTTCCCGGGTTACAGGAAACAGCGGATGCTCCAATGGTGCTAGAATTCATGAAGATCTGGTTCTCAGCTCTGCAGTCAACAAGAAAAATCACACACTCAGAAGCTGAAGTATCGAGCAAAACAAGAACTCCGAAAGCTAAGACTTCAGAAATTCAGAGAGAACCATCTAACCTTTGAGCTACGCATAGAGACAAATAAAATAAAATTCAGTAGTTGAGGCGATTCTATAAAACGAGAAAGGCCCAAATTTTGCGGACAAGTTCGCAAGATCCGGAACATGGTAACTACCAAAGCCTCAAGGATCAATTTTTTTCCAAAATACGAGAGCCAAAGAAATGCACCATGAAAGCGAGAAGAACGGTTTTCGAGGAATTCAGATCTAGCCCTAAATCTGGAAACTGCGTTCCGTAAGACGCAAGCAAAGATCAAGAACATCAGGGTATCAACAGGAATCTCAAAATAAACCAACGATGTTCCAAGTCGTAAAAATAAGCCTAAAGGAACCCACAAGAACCGACAAGCAGATGCATAAATCTCGAAGCTTTCAACAGAATTTGAACAAACTGAAAAGGGGAAATCGAAAATTCAGAAGGAGAAGAAACAAACCAAAAGACAGAGAGAGAATTACCAGGAAGGAGGTCTAGTGAAGAAGACGAAGAGGACGAGCAGTAGTGGAGGAGAGGATAAAGCCAAACCGCGGCGAAGGATCGGAGGCGCGTGGCTGCTTTATATATTCGCTCCGTTATTATTTTTACCAGCGTGGGGAATCGGTAGAGGTGACACGTGGAGAGATTCTACTGGGCGAGCGGTCTACATTGTCTGTGCGGCGAGGGTTCTTATTTGCGGGAGGAGACGTAAATTCTAAAATGCAATTTAGTGAAATTTCAAAAACTAAATTGATGGCCCATGCAGGTTTCGAACCTGCGACCTTCGCGTTATTAGCACGACGCTCTAACCAACTGAGCTAATGGGCCTGTGCTCTTGTGCGAAGAACATATTAATTCAGCCTTAAAAGTAAAATACCTTCTATTTTGAAATAAATAAAGAAGATATATCACAAGATTAATTATGAGGACAAAGACAAACCCATAAATTTTTTTTTTTTCTCTAGAAAAGAAAAGGAATACGTGAGAAGCGCCTAACAAATTCGAATTCGAAAATATAAGAGAGAGAGTGAGAGTGATATAGGATTCCCCGAGAAGAGAGCTCCTGTCGTCATCCTCCGCCGTAACAATGAAATCTTGTGCCCGGAGACCTCTCCAGCCGCTAAACGGTCTTCAACAGTTCAGACCAGTAGGAATCAAGCCAAAGCATGAGCCGGAGAAGAACAAGGAGAACCATCCCTTCGACACGTCCCTGGCCGAGGAGCTCGGCGCCTTCAAGAAGAAGCTGCAGCGGCTGAGAGAAGACCATCACAGCACGGAGCAGTTGCTGAGTCAGCGAGATCGAGCCATGGATCTCCACATGAAGCACCTCCTTGAGAGAGGCGACTTCCAAAAGAAGCTCGAGATCGAGGTCGATCGTCTCTT